ATTAAGTCCCCATCCCTGGAGGTATTTAAAAGACGTGTAGATGTGGCGCTTAGGGACATGGTTTAGTGGTAGATTTGGCAGTGTTAGATTTACGGTTGGATTTGACGATCTTAAAGGTCTTTTCCAACCTAAATGATTCTATGAAAGGGGGGTTCTGTGTCCTCCCACACATCTCCATGGCAGAGACGGTCCTCCCTTGGCTCCTCCTCCAGCCCAGGGTGCAGCATCCTCTTTGTATCCTTAAAGCACTTGGCGTATAACAGACACAAAAAAACCTGGCAAAGGCTTTAATTCTCGGGAATCATCTGGATTTGACGATGGGGCTGGTGCGGCAGCCCGCGGATTACGTTGGGAGAGCTCCCACCTCTTACAGGAAATAAAGGGAAAGTAATAAACATAAGAGGATTTTGAATACAGCAGCAATTTTTACGGCGAGGAGGAAGCGAGGACATCAGCCTGCCCAGTGTAATCCCGAAAGCTTGCTCTAACGATTTTTATATTACAACAGCCAGAGACTTGACAGCTCCTGGAGGCAAAGCCTGGCCCCTGTTTGTACAAGACACAGCAGAGACGAAATCCCCAGCGATCAGGTCCCAACCGATTCAGGATGGCCCCTCGAGCAGCTCTCCCTCTCGTTTACAGCAGGTGTCTGCAGCAGAAGCTCCAGAGACCATCAATCGTCCTCATCCTCCTCCTCCCAAATGACCCTGACCAAAAATACGCCTCTGGCCCTAGCAAGAGCTGTCAGGTGGGATTCCAGCCCTGCTCCCAACCTCTCCTGGGCATGCAGATGTCCTTCCCTACAGGCTGTGGCATCCTGTAGATGTGATGGCTATGGGCATTTGCTCCCCCTCAGTGACCTGTGCAAGAGGCCACCCTTAAGCAAAGTTGACTTTCTGAACATGCCCCTGCAGAAAGAGCATAAAGACCAGCAGAAAGACCAGCTCCCTGGTCAGTATGGTTTCCACCCCACTAGGGTCCCTTAGGTACAGCCAGACTTGTCACTGCTGTGTCACACTATGTACCTGCTCTGCTGGAAACCCCAGTGATGGGAACAGCCTTTGCTAGGAGGGTGATCCAGGAGGCACGTTGCTGCCATGCTCAGCACTGAGGCGGGGGTGTTGGAAGGATGCTGTGGGTGGGACACGTCCTGCTCCCTGGGGATGTGTTCACGTGAGCTAGCGTCCCTTGGGTCTTCCAGAGTCAATGGAGATTTTGGCCATGTAGTCCATGGTGTGATTTCTAAAGGACAGTGTTGAATTTGGACCTTTTATGTTTCTCCAGATGGAGGAACATCTGCCCATCCTGTATCTCCGCTCAGCCCTTTCCTGGTTTGCCATCCCGGCAGGTGAGCACTCGAGAGCTGAGACGCAAAGATGACGAGATGAGGAACATCCGGGTCCATGCCCTCCTCCATGCGGGGGCCATCATCGCTGTGGATATCTTCTTCCACTTCTTCTACATCCTCACCCTCCCTTCTGACCTGAAGTTCATGAACCGCCTCTCGGACTGGTCCTTGGGTGAGTGGCCATGCTTGGACCGCTTATACCTGTATTCAGCATCAAGGCAGTGGTGAGTGATTCAGATCTCCATCCATCTCCATTAAGAAGCCTCGTCAATGTGTATGTTGGACAGGTTTGGACAGGTAAAGACCCCCTTCTTCCCATTGACAATGCACAGAGCTGGGGTCTGTCAGGTGGCATTGGTTTGACGTGCTCATAGGATCCTCGAGTAAATTATTTGGCTCGGGGTTTAAGAGGCTGAATACCAAGCCGTTCCCATTGCCTTTGTCTGGACTGGAAGGGAGCTCAGAACCTCCAAAAATCAACCCTGTGCTGTTGCAATCTGGTATCTCAGATGCCTTCACAGGTGGCCACCCATTATGGGTGTTTGTGAGCCACTGAAAAGGCTGCAGGGCTTAGGTTGTACAGAGGGCAGCTCAGGGGACTTGTAGCTGCTGTCTTCAACTGCCTAAAGGAGGGTTGTAGAGAAGGTGAACTCTGCTTGGAGGCTGCCAGGGAAGAAGCAGGTCACAGCAAACAAGGTGCAGCAAGGCAAAGTCGGATTGCACGTAAGGATTTTGGTTTTTTTCTTAGAGTGGTCAAACATTGAAACAGGGGCCCAGAGGGGTTATAGATTCTCCAAAAACAGAGATGTTCAACACTTAAATGGACAAGGTCCAAAGCGACCTGATCTCCATTCGACACTGGCTGTGCTCTGAAAAGGGCTGGACTAGGGACCTCCAGAAGCCAAATTCCTGGGATGAGTAGTGGTAGCAGCACTGGCATTCAGCTGGCAGCTGGATGGAGGATTCCAGCTGGCCAAATACACATCTGATGGCAGCATTTGAGATGCCATAGGGTATCTGACATCCACATGGGGCTGGCACAGGGCAAACAGAGGCTGGAGAAACCCCATGTCTCCCCAGAGTGGCAGCTGGAGGCCAGGAGAAAATCCTAATGCAGCTAGAACGGCACTACCATCGATTTAGGGTGTCCTAAGAGACGTGGGTGGACTGACCAAGCATGTGTGCTACTCCAGAGGGAGCTGAGCTCCTCTGAAGGCTCTGCTGACTGGATTGACCAGATCTGCCTTGTCCACGGTGGGAGCTCAGGCACGGCTCACATGGAGGCACTGTGTGGCCCTTAATCTGTGAGCTGAATCCCACCAAGAAGGGGGCATTTTAACTCCTGTTTGCATAGGAATTTGAAATCTTTGGTATTTTTCCTGCAAGAGTTGTTTCCAGCGTCAGACACCTTTCCAAGACAGATGTCCTGGCCCTGGCTCTGCCGTAGCATCAGTGTTACATCTATGGCCACGAGGAGGTGGGACGGGGTGCATTTCAATGAAGGTGTCAATAAAACCTCAGAGGTCAGAGTTGAGAACTGTGATGAGTTTGTCATAGGTTAACAAGCCTTAGAGGGGAAGAAAGATCTTGTGCTGGAAGAAATGAGATCTGTATGAGCTTCTTGGACTACCAAGACCAGTAAACATTTTGCTCCCAAATACCCCAAGAAGATATTGTCATTTGGTTCAAGCGCCTTAAAAAGCTACTTAGTTTTAAAAGCTTTGCTGGTCCAAGACGGCAGTAGACTGTCTTCTCGGTATTATGTTTGTTGCAATAGACTACATGCTCCCACAGGACATGATGTCCCCCAAAATCCCGAAGGTGATACATCCTGTGGTCCTCTTCACCTGTTTGACTCTCATTTTTGCTCCAGCTGGCTTGGCCTACTCTAATTTGGTGTATGACTGGGTGAAAGCTGCTGTCATGTTTGGGGTCATCAACACCATCGCCAGACTGGACCACTTGGACCCACCCCAGCCCCCAAAATGCATCACCATGCTCTACGTCTTTGCAGAAACGTGAGTACCCCACGTGCATTAATGAAGACAGACAGCGTGTCTGAGGGACAGACAGTGGCTGAGGGAACTGCAGTTGTGTAGCCTGGAGAAGAGGAGGCTGAGGGGAGACCTCATCGCGCTCTACAACTACCTGAAAGGAGGTTGTAGCGAGGTGGGGGTTGGTCTCTTCTCCCAAGTAACCAGCGATAGGACGAGAGGAAATGGCCTCAAGTTGCGCCAAGGGAGGATTTGATTGGACATTAGGAAAAATTTCTTTACTGAAAAAGTGGTCAGGCCTTGGAACAGGCTGCCCAGGGAAGTGGTGGAGTCACCATCCCTGGAGGTATTGAAAAGACGTGTAGATGAGGCGCTTAGGGACATGGTTTAGTGGGCATGGTGGTGTTGGGTTAACGGTTGGACTCGATGATCTTAGAGGTCTTTTCCAACCTTAATGATTCTATGATTCTATGTTTGACCTGAATGAAACGCGCATGGCAGGGAGGAGGTCTGGGCTGTGCTTCTGAGCAGCTGGCCTATAAATTGGAGATTACCTACATTGAACGGTCTATACTGAACCTATAGTCTAGACCTGGCCATAGCCCAGGGAAATATTCTTGGGCAGGAAGCAATAGATAAGGAGAGAGGTTACAACCACATCCATAGTGGGACCTGTTCAAGGAAGGAGCATGGAGAACTGCTGTGAACAAGGTTCAAGATGTACCTCACCAGGGGCCTGGGTGCCTTCATTCTGTGGCTGGCTGCTGCGTGGAAGGCTGTCCTTACACTGTGTGTTTTAACGTGCTTTTTATCATCTGCATTTTAGGCATTTTGACAGAGGGATTAATGACTGGCTATGCAAGTAAGTGTCTAATCAACCATCTCTAGTCTGGTTCAAGGTCTTCTCTTTCATCACAGAGCAGTGAAGCATTAAATGCTCTTCATCCCAAAGCTGAAGTGTCCTCTTCTGGGTGATTCCCACTACGGCATGGAGTCATATTTGGTCTGTTTATCCCTAAGACCATTGAATTAATCACTACAAAGTGCAACAGGCCCCCCCCAAAGTTGGGAATAAGAGAATCCTGTCCCAGAAATCCCTTTAAGTCTGGTGGGTTTAGCATTCCCTCAAGGGAGGAAGAGTCAGGTTCATATTCCACTAGGAGGAAAGGGGAATTGAGCCCAGGTCTCCCATATCCTGGGTAACAAGGGTGGCCTGAGCTCCGTCTACATCTCCCTCAGCCCTTCAGCTCTCTTCAGCCACGAGTACACACCAGCAAACCTGTACTGAAGGTGGTAGCTGCTCTGTGATGAAATCCTGTGCACCAGCAAGTCTGAGAGAGCCTGCAGCTCTACAGATCCCCATGTTTTATTAACTCTTTACCTGCAAGAGGGGGAAAGGGTGGTATTTTGTCCTTAAGGAGCTATAGGTTTGTGAGGAACACAAGCCACAAGCAGCTGGAAAATCAGTTTATTGCTAGAAGGTGTCAGCCAAAACATCCTTCCTTTCTCACTGGGGTGCTCTAGGTTGACCTGCCTGTGAGGAGCTTGTGGTGGGCACGTGTGGGAGAAGGGACTGCAGAGGGTTGTTCTTGACTATGAGGAACACTGACCACTTTCCTTGGCCGTTAGGTACGTGTATGACCACATTGGAGAGAACCATGACAACGTCATGAAGGAGCTCATGGCCACCATCGCCACCTTTGCCGTCACCACCCTGTGGCTGGGGCCCTGTGAGATCGTTTACATTTGGTCTGTCTTTAACTGCTTTGGCCTCAACTTTGAGCTCTGGGTGCAGAAGTTCTTCCAGCTGGAGCCTTTTACCAAACTGGAGGTGAGGAGCTGGGCTGCAAGTGGATGGGGGAAGATCAATGGGTCTGGGGCCAAACTCTGCTGCTGGAAAATGTCCATGACTGTACAGAGCTCAAATTTGTTTATACACGTCAGATCCATTTTCAGCTGAGACTGAGGAGCAACATTCCTGATGATGCCGTGCAGCTCCATGTCCAAGCCTCCTGCCTGGAGCCCTGAAGCTCTCTCCTGTGGCCTTTAGCATCCTTGTGATCAGCTACTCAGCCGTGCAAGGGAAGCACGGTCCTGGTGCTCTGCATCCCTTCATTTCATGCACTGTGTCACCCACCCAAGAGCAAATTCCCACCTGCCCCTATGATGCTTCATGGGGAATTTAGGTTGGGTGTGGAGCTTTCAGAGGGAAAACGGAGGTCCAAAAGAACCAGGAATGCAGCCCCAATGAGGCATCAAAGTATCACAGATGGACACAAAACCTGGAGTCTGTCCGTTGGGAAATGTTTATACATTTTCATATGGAAATCATTTGTTCTTCTTGTTCTGCAAAACATCTTGGCATTCTGAGTGGTTTTGATCTGATTTCTGATAAAAGCAAATGTTTAGGTACTAGAATTAATTATTTTCCAACCACTCCAAAGCTTTGTGCCCTGTCTCTGTTCAGGACCAAGGTGCCTCGGGGACATGTTGGAAGAAAAACTTAGGAAATACCATTCTGGAAACAATTATGTTCCTTATTTGTTTTTCCCAACCTAAAGTCTGGAGATCCTAAACCGGTTCAGTAAAGGCCCCTTTTGAATAAAAACTTCGGAGAGCAATCCTCCCGTTTGCTCTCCTTGTTGAACTTTTAATCAGATTATAGCACTCGCAGGCAATGAAATCTCCTTCCCTGCGGCACCACAATTCTCAGCAGTAAGTGGCCTGGGGATTCATCGTGCTCTTTGAAGACTTCTATAAACCACTTCCCCGCCCCAGTCACAGCAGCTGCTCCGGAGGATTATGTGCCAGTGACAATTTCACTCTGCTGCTGTCACTAGTTTTCAGCTTTTTTTTTTTTTTTTTTTTCCTAATTCTTAAGAAACAATTTCTACCAGGATTTGGGAGTGATTTGCACATAGGGCTAATAATAATCCTGGTATACAACAGCATTCATCTGCGTTGCGGAACGGCTTACCTGAGGCAACAGATGAAGAAAGCGGTACTCGGCCTTTACAATTAGCATGAAACCGTGTATAACATCTTGCCCCTACCCATGGGACCTTGAAACACCAGTCCAGAGTCCCAAATGCATCTGAATCCAGCAGCAGAACAGAAGTTTTACCTTGTCATCATGTTTCTTCATCCCAGAGACACTAAAGGCTGCTCTAATTTTTGCCTACCCCTCTGCGATCCCAGGTGGAGTTTGGCTGGAGTTGGACCAGTGCATCCCCTTTCCTTACAGCCCCGTTTTTCCTCACTCTCTGCTCCTCTCCCCTCCACAGGCCAAAATGTCAGCGGCCATGTCTCGGCGAATTAGGGCAGTTTTTGGGGCGGCAAATTTCTGGGCCATCGTCCTCTACAACATCCTAGCCCTCAACAGCCTGGAGTTTGCACTGCTGGTCACCAAGAGACTCCTTCTGACGGGTAAGATGCTACCAGCCTTCCCCATCAAGGCACCCTTCTCTTGACGTGGGGACATTGGTAGGGGAGCTGAGGACTGGGAATTCCGAATCCTCTTGGTGGCCTGGCCATTGGCTTGTTACATGGCTGCTCCCAATGTGCTTAGTTATTGTTCAAAAGGTGCAGGAAGCTGTTTCTTAGCTCCCATCCTTCTCGTGTGAGCTCTCTGGGGTATGAGCTGCCTTCCAGGTGTGCTTGTACAGCTCCTAGCACAGCCTGACGCTGTGATTTAGACTCCTTGCAGCAACGCAAAGGTCACATTCACCCCACCGAGGTGGGCTGTGAAATGGTCCCCTTGCTGGAGAAAGGGATTTACTTGTCCTACCTCATCTCCTTTTGCTTTAGCAGTTACTCCTGCGTCAACCTGAAGGTGACAGGTACAAATCCTCGTCCTAGGCTCCTAATGAACAGTCTTATCTGTACATTTCTAATCGGTGGATGGTGGCACTATTTTGAAGTCTTCTTGAGCAGCCCAGGGTATAAATAGCCATTGGGAGCACGTGTCCTCCAGCCCTCTCCGGGACAGGGCTGGCGTAGGAAATGGATAATGTGACACTCTGGGCTCAGTGTGCCAGAAGTGCCTGCCCGCTGAGCTAGCTGGCTTTTGCTGGTTGCATTATTCATTTCAGAGGTCCTGTTTTAGCAGGTACAAAGCTCATGTCTCCCCTCTGCTGTGGATACCAGACTTGTGGTTACAAATGCCGTCAGACCCTTCCTAAGTGGAGGAGAGCTCCCGGCTCTCAGTCATTTACCTAGGTGACAAAACCATAGGTTTTGTGGGTGCACAGTGTGTCCCCACGAGGTATGGGACAAGGCTGGGGTTGATCCTCAGCATCAGTGGGGCACAAAGCTTCCAGAAGGTCACAGTGCTGAACAACGATGGACATGGGCAGGTTGAATGGGCAGAAAGTCAACCACACCAAGCCTGAACTTGGAGGGCAGAAGGAGTTTTGGAGGTAAGGGAGTGCTCAAAGCCAGTCCAGCAAGTTCTCACATTAACCGTGGTCCATGATGTCTTGGTGGGCTCAGGCACTGCTTCATCTAAGATCTGATCCTGGGAATTTCTCTCTTCTCTCAGTGAAGCTGTAGGGCTGGATCCACAATAGAAAATGTCGTTGGCCATCATGAACTTGTGGGGCATCCCAAACCCACCTGAGAGGCAGCAGTGCTGGAGAAAAGCTGGCCCCGTTAGGCAAGCAGCTACACCAAGATGACCATGTCTCCCTCCATCTTCTAGGTTTCCCTGTCAGCACCTTATCCATCTGGTTCATCACGTACTGCGGAGTGCAGCTGATCAAAGAGCGTGAACGCGTCCTGGCCCTCGAGGAGGAGAAGTGTAACAAAGCAAAGGTGGAGTAGAGGGAGGCATCAGCAGGCTTGTCCCAAAGCCTCGTCTCCCCTCCAGCCACCGCAGGGCTCTCCAAGCACTCCTGACAATCGGACTGCAGGAAAGATTTTCTGTAAGACACAGTGGGAGTTTCTCAGGCTCCCCATGCGTGGCAGATGGCTGAGGTAGGCTCCCAGGACATTTCTTTAATGCCAGCAAGAGCCACCCCCATCATTTTTCTGACCTTCGGACATTGTGCAGGCCTAGAGATTTCACCCCCTGCTTCCCATAACACCTGGTCCACCAGCACTTGGCTATCCTGCAGGACCTGTAGCCTATGTCTCCCAGAGGAGACTCTCCAAGTCCCATGGATGAAGGTTTTAGGGTGGGCCAGACACACAGCTGTGAGAAAGGGATTAGCTGGAGCTGAGCTTGCTCTGAGCAGACCATCTCCAGGTTGCTTCCAGCCCAAGCATCCTATGTTTCTTTCACTACAAGAAATGGTCAACATCCACTGTCAAGTGTTCAGCATCTATGGCTGTGCAGTAAGGACTGTGAAATGGCTCAGCATGATCTATACCTACCACGAGGCTAATAAATACATAGTACAGTCTTTATAGCAAAGCGAAGGAGGACCGGGAACGGCACATTGAAGGGTAATTATCTCCCTACCATTGTCAGCGGTGCAGAGTGATAGCTGTTACGATCTCTGCAAAACAGGTCCCTTCAGTGCTAAATGTCTTGAAAAAAATGATTTAGTGCCAGCATCAGCCATAGTTAATGAGAGTGTGGGAGCCATACCTGCTTCACAGCCATCGCGCATCGTGTACAGGTCGCCTGGGGAGCGGGCATGCCAAAGAAACACAACACATGGCTCACAACTGCTTGGTCTCCAGGCTCCAATTCAGACCCAAAGGGCCCTCCACTGCTGGGTCTCCGACCGATGTGGCCACCATGACCATCCTGCTGCGCTACGTGTCCTGGGACTCAAACCAAATCCCATTTGCATTTTTACATGCCGTGGACAAAGGTTTAAGCTCACATTCCTACCCATGGCTGAGGAACAGAAGATGCTATAGCCAACTCTTACTCATCTCCAGCCATCCATCCCTTTACTCAACTGACTTCGGTGCACACAGCCGAAGCCCATGACTGCATGGCTGAATGAGCACACACACATATGTACAACCAAAGCAGGAAGACCCTGAATGAAGGGCAGTGATTTGGGACTCGGTGGCGGAGGGGAAGCCCATGATGGACTCCTTGGAGAAGTAGACTTTGGGACACTGCATAGTGAGTGCATTGAATAAATGTACATGTGTGAAACACGGTGCCTTGGGGGAAAGGTGGGTTAATAATTGAAAAATAGCTCGCTCTCTCTTACACTTCAGAGTAACTTTCAGTGGCCTTATGTCTGAGTTCTGCTGATGTTTGGTGAGGGCAGAATCTGGACCACTTTGTAATGTGGGTTGAGATGCTTGGTGCTGGTGTGTTCTGGCTTCCCTGAAGATGAAACAGGATCGGTTCCTAGCCAGCTTTCAGCTCTGCCAAAGTAATTTGTGAAGTCCCTGATAAATGTCATTTATTTATGTAGTAAATAAACGTTGGAAATCTGTGGCACCTGTTTTGCTGCTGTAATGCAGGTGCCACCCTGGGTAATGCACTGCCATCAGAGCTGAGAGACACAAGGCTCTCTTTGCAAGTCCGCACCTCCCACCCCTAATTGTGACACAAGATTAGACATTGCTGAGTTTGATAGAAACCCGCCTTAGCGGCATCACCAAATTGGAGGTTTGGCTGCAGCTTGATTCATATTCACCTTACTTTAACTCCATCTTTGTAGTGGTGGAATACCACGAGTCTACTGCCATCAAACTTTCATCCATGTAGTTTTTATTTCCAGGTGCCCGACCCAAAATGTTGGAAGTAACAGCAGGTATTGTGCCTTGGTAGCATCTCCAGTCACATCCCCAAAACCCCTTCAGCTACCAGGCACATCCCTTTTTAACACAGACCTGGTGCTGGACCTTTGGTAGATGTTTCTTGGCATCTCCATTATTTCAGATTTACTCTTTACCACCAAAACAGCTATGACATGGTGTGCTTCCTCCCAGTGTAAAATTCAGCTCTTCTCCTCCACACGGGTGTCCTTGCACAGCTGAAGCCACCTTGAGCTGCCAAGACCAAGGGCTCTGTCTCTGCAGGTGGCTCAGCCCAGGTCCCTGGCTGCTCGGGAGGGTGTCCACCTCCCGAGAGTGGGTGACTCACATGGCACCCACCTCCCGAAGTGGGTGACTCACATGGCAAAGCCCAGTGACTCTGCACTGCCCTCCTGACTTGGATACTCCGAGAGAGAAAATAACGCATTCACTAAGGATCTAAATTTACCCAGCAGCTGCATCTGTTGGAGCTGCCAGAAGGAGCTAATCTTAGACACAGAGTGATTCGTTAGAGAGACAGTTCATGGGAGAACTTGGGCTTTGCCCCCCTTTGCCTGAAGTTATCCCCTTGTTTATCACTGCTGTTAGAAGCCCAGGGGGTCTGCTGGGCCATGAGCACCCAAGTGGTGCTATCTCAACCATGTCTCACTGTTCAGCGCTGTGCAGGAGATCCTCAGCCTCGGTGTATGCCTCCGTGGAGCGGGATTTATCAACTGCTCATCTCTCTCCTGGAGAAGAGTATCTCATCTGATCTGGTTATTGCCTGCCTGTTAGTAAAACTTGCCTGAGAAGCCAAGAAAAGCAATTATTTATTGCAACTACAAATCCAAATTAATAGCCCTACACTGGACACTTTCTTGTTCAGCCTGACATGGCTGTGATTCCTACATTCACCTTTCTTGTTCTAAAATTCTGTATGAGGGGGAGTGATGGTGCTACATTGCATCCCCTTAGGATGCTTTCCATGTATCCTCACCCACTCCCATGTCATGGGGGACTATTGCCCACCTAGAGACACACTTAGTAACTGACTTAGTCCATTGGTCGTTAGAAATCACTAGCTGTAGTCCCGTTAGACCTGGGGCCAGTTAGCTGAGGGCTATTTCAGAACAGCCCACCTCATTCAGGGCTCTGTTGTCTATTATACAGCAGTCAGCACTTTTGGGGGGTACCCTGGGGAGAGTCGATTCACCCATTCATGTGTTCCTGGAGATAATGGTAACTATGATCACTGCTCACCCTTATCGCATCCACATGTGCCATCTCATCTGCTTTTAGATGTTAAATCCCTCTGGGCTTGGCTGGTACTCGCTTGGAGACCAGCTTACCTTAGTGGTGACATGTTGGACCCAGCAAATGAAAGATGGATGGGACAAGTCTACTGTGGTCAAAGCCTCCACAAGAGATAATGGTTGCAGAGGGCTCAGAATTGATGATTGCCTCAAATTCCACTGCTACCATCAAGAAAAGTCTCCCGTAGCAATCAGGTGTGGCCTTGGCTCTCCAGTCCAGCAAGGCTCAGACCAAGCCCCCCCCCAAATCCTATTGACTTCCCTGCACATAAACAGATTGTAAAATGGCAATGACCAACCAGTGTGAACAAATGAAAACCAGGAATGAGGGAAGACACACAAGTGAGAATGAAATACCGTGCCTGAGAACCAAACTGGAAACGTGTAACCTAAAATGTAAGAAGGATAATAATCTGAACACCAAATACTCGGTGGGTGAGAGGAGCTGAAGCTTGTGGATCTGAGCTGCATAAAGCACTGCCAACTTTTCACGTCCAGCCCCAGGAGGGTTCGGGAGAGGTGCACGGTGGCTCTGAGAGCACCCCTGGGTCTCCCCATTAGCACCGCGTGAGCTTCCCCACAGCGCAGAGCTGCTCAGAGGCTTTGGGTCCACCAGATCGACCTTCTGTCCCACCAGGCTGTGGCAGAAACTTCTCTGGGGAGGAATCAGCCTTATCAGAGCCAAGGAGGTTTACAGACCATTTGAGGTCAGGGTTAACACATAGGGCACAGCCTGTATGTCCAGCCTGGGCCATATATGCGATCTACACCCGTTTTGATGACAGGGCTTGGGATGGATGCTGCTGTATTGAACTGAGAGCAAAAAATGGTGGAAACATAAGGCAAGGTATCACACGTGTGAATGTTGCCACAAGGCATCATGAGGACAGTATCCCAGCACTGCTGGTGTTAGGAGGCACTGGGAAGAGTTAAGGGTATCTAGTCCGGGTTCATGATTTAAACTCTCTCTAGAGCAAATGGGGAGAGATGGACATCACCGGAGTCCTCTCATCTCAGGCAAGTGTCTAACTCAGGTGCAGTGAACCAGCTCCCAGAGCTATCTGTCTCTCCCCATGGCTGTAGGGAGCCTAAATGACACAGTGCACCGAGGAGATGGTGCTCTGGAAAAACCAGGGCTGCTTCCCCGAGCCTTGGAGCTGGTCCAGCTGCTGTGCAAAGCCACCGACGCCGATGAAGACCCCAGAGCAGGTTTGGGACCGGCACGGTCCGGGGTGGACCACAACAAAACCGGGAGCCACAGCCCCACCGATGGGTCAGGAGCTCCTCTGGGAAGGGACGGCCTGTAGCTGCATTTTAGCAGCAGCACCTCGTGACGTGGGGAATGTGGAAGCAAACCTTGGATGACAGCACACGCCGAGCGGGACAGCAAAAAGGAAAACAAGCCAGGGCTCAAGGGAGATTAAAGGCAGAGAGGGAAAAATCCCAGCCGGTAGCACGACAACGCAGGATTAAACTTGGGAAAGTGCAGAGCTAATGCAGAGGGAAGGGAGAGGGGGTCGGGGTTGTCCAGCCCCAGATGTCTGGGAGCAAAGAAACGTTTCTGAAGTTTGGCCCAGTTCAAAAATCAGTGCTCGTCGTCTGATCCCGTCATGGATGAGCAGAACAGCAGAAGAGCTTATGATGTGAGCTCCAAAAACAGCTTGTGATTATTTCCCTGCTATATTGGTACCTCCCAGATGCTGCTGGAATGTCACCAGTACAAAAGGGCTTCATACCAGTACAGCTCCCTCCCTCTTCCTACTTATGTAGATAACCATCATTGCACAAAGCACTTTTATAAATACATCCATGCCAGGGTAAGGGGTTATCTGGCTTTAAATACACCAAGAAGAGTGGCTAATATCTTTGCATAGACTTAATTAAATCGT